ATCTGAGCTAGGTAAAAAAATTTCTTAAAAAAAAGTAAAATGATATTATATTAAAAATTTTAATTAAATTTATTTGTAAAAATAATATGTATTAACTTGAAATTCTGATTTATAATTGTGATTATTACAATAGAATAAATATTAACATTATAAAATAATATTCATATAAAAAATATAAACAATTACAAAAATATCATTTTGGTGTGTATATTTGTAAAAATGTCATTTAAGGGTTTTTATTGGAAAAAAACCAACTAATAGGGAAATTGCAATTCTAATATTAGTTGGCAATTCCTAAGTAAAACTATATCCCACCGGGAACAATCTGTTGCCGTCAAGATCCCACCGTCGACATCACAATCGGAAATCTCACTGGCGTGGAGGTTGCAGTCCGTCGAGTCAGGTTAGATTTCTCTCCTTCAACTTGTGTTCACTTGTAATGTGGCTTTTGAATGTCGTTTTTAGAGTTTGCACATCAGGTGCTTGCTAAAATGTCCAACTGGGCCTTATAGATAACACAATCACTTTTAGCAATTCACCGAATCAAATAAACAATTTAGGTTGCTTGATGATATCAACCCGCTAATGTATTTGCCAATTTAGACTGTGTTCTTCTTTGGTTGAAATAATATGTGTTTGGTTGCAGGTGCATAGGATGATGTTATAGTCATGAGTCGAATCGTGAAACATCCGATTATCGCTCTTCTGGATTCCGGCACTACCTTTAAGGAAGTCCGGCAAATCCATGCCAAACTCTTCGTCGACGGGACACTCAACGATGATCATCTCGTCGGTCAGTTCGTAAAAGCGGTGGCTTTGAGCGACCAGAAGTATCTAGATTATGCGAATCAGATCCTGGATNGGTCTGATAATCCTACATTGTTTGCTCTCAATTCGATGATCCGAGCACATTGCAAGAGCCCTGTTCCAAGAAAAAGCTTTGATTTCTATAGCAGGATACTTCGTTCGGGAAACGATCTTAAACCGGATAATTACACCCTCAACTTCTTGGTTCAGGCGTGCACAGAGCTAGGGATGCGTGAGACGGGGCTTCAAGTTCACTGTACAACCATCAGACGTGGTTTTGACAACGACAAGCATGTCCAAACCGGGTTGATTTCCTTGTATGCGGAGCTGGGCTGTCTGGAGTCTTGTCATAAGGTATTTAATTTGGTTTCTTATCCAGATTTTGTGTGTCGGACAGCGATGGTCACAGCCTGTGCGAGATGCGGGGACGTTGCTTTTGCACGGAAGTTGTTTGAGGATATGCCTGAAAGAGACCCGATTGCCTGGAATGCGATGATCTCTGGCTATGCTCAGATTGGAGAATCAAGGGAAGCCCTAAACCTGTTTCATT